GCCTGCTTGATTGGCAACTAATCCACTCCCTTCAACATTCACTCGCTCTACCAACACACACCATGGCAGCAGAATGTGTCAAGTACAAGGTGCACTGCAGTAACTCACTAAGGTTCTTTTGAAAGTACCTTCCAAACCAGTCACCTCTTCCAGCTAGAAGGTAAGAACAGCAGATGCATGGAAATACCAACACTTGCAAGTTCCCTTCCAAGCTACAAACCATCTGACTGGAAAAAATATTGCCATTTCTTCATTGTCATTGAGTCAAGATCCTGAAAAATCCTTCCAAACAACATTGTGGGTTCACTTGTAGCCCAAGGACTGTAGTGGTTCATGAAAGTTTTTTTCTCTTTCTTTATTCATTAATGGGAGGGGGGCGGTGCTGGCTCGGCAGCATTTATTGCCCATCCCTAATTGCCCAGCAGGCAGTTCAGAGTCAATCACAGTAGCTCACCATTACCTTTCTTAGGACAATTAGAGATGGGCAATAAATTCTGGCCTAAACAACAATGCCCACATTCTATAGAGGAGTGAAAAATAGTGCTTCATAAATGCAAATTATATTCATTCTTATTCATCTAAAATTCCTTCTTGAAATAATAATGTTAACAAAATTCCCTTAATTGAGCAGTTCTCCTCCACAGTCCACTTAAATAATGCAATTCTTTCCTGGTTTATTCTCACCTGTCACTTTGGTGACAAAAGATTACCTGAAATGGCTGCTTCTGTATGATCTACTTATAGTGCTTCATTTTTGATGTTCTATTCTTTATCATTTACAGTCATCAAAACACTGTGCCTTACATTTTCCACCACATGAAGGTCTGTACACACCAGGCCTTGCTAGTCCATTGTCCCTGATAATCAATTTCAAGATGTTTGTTCTTACTTTCAGTTCACTGTGGCCTTGTTTCACTTTATTCTTTCAGTTGCTCCAAACACCTTATGCATCTTGCATGTGCCTTCATTCATTGCAGACCACCCGATTCCTCTTTGTCTATATTTTTTAGTGCTTCTTCATTCTTTATGCAATGCCCTCTGGAACTTCATTCCAACTGATACATTTTGCCATCTTCAAATTTGTGTTCAAAAGCCTTCTTAAGTCCCTTTTCTTTGGCATGCTTTTGACTCTTCCTTAACCTTTCCTCTTGCATTAATTTCCATGTAAATCCAATATTATAAAAATACTCTTACACTCATTGTTCTATGCGAAGAGCATCACACACAAATAAATTGTTGACATTGTGTTCACATTCAGTGCACTAGATGGCAATCTATTCCACAAGTTTAAAAATTCAAGGTGTAAGTAGATATTACTTAAGTTATTTAATAGTTTCCTGAGCTTCATAACTATTTGCCTAATTTTTTCCTGCTTCAACACAACTGGTTCTTTATATCCACTTCACCAATTTCACTCTTGACATTTAAAAAAATGTTGATTTTACTGCAAGCACAAAAATCAAATCTTCCTTCAACTAATTGATTGCAACCGTATATATCTCAGGCTGCTTCTCCATAATGGGAACACTTGCAGTACAGGAAGTATTTTCAAGCTGTAAATAAAGATGAGATGTGATACACTGAGTGTGATTTTTGTCAGGACTGTCAGCGGCAAATTTGCCACCAATGATACCAATATGTTTTTCTTGTTAATCACAATGTTTTAATTACTTTTTTACAGAAAAATGTCATTTTGAAATATTTGCAGAATAATTAATCATTGCGATTGTTACCTTCCTGTGCTGCTGAAAAACTATCGGCATCAAGCTTTAGACAAGTTTTCTATTCATTATATAAAACTGTATATTTCCACAGAATAATATCATAGAATCCCTAGTGTGGAAACAAGCCCTTCGGCCCAACAAGTTCACACCGACCCTCAGAATCTCACCCAGACCCATTACCAAATAACCCATCTAATCTACACATCCTTGAACACTACAGGCAATTTAGCATGGCCAATCCACCTACCTGCATATCTTTGGACTGTGGGAGGAAACCCATGCAGACAAGGGGAGAATATGCAAACTCCACATAGACGGTTGGCCGAGGGTGGAATTGAACCTGGGTCCCTGACGCTGTGAGGTAGCAGTGCTAACCAGTGAGGCACCGTGCCACTAAATAATAGTTAATATTGCTAGAGCAATAGTTGTATGAAGATATAAAAAGGAGGGAATGTAAAAAGATCATTCAGATTTCTCAGTTAACCATATCAAACAGCCCTAGCCTGGTCATTTTTATGTCCTTCTTGTTTAACAATTTTTTTCTGCATTTTGGCTGATCAAAAAACAATAAATATCTGAAATAGAACAAAGAAATGCGGGCACTGAAGATCTGAAACAAAAACAGAAACTGGCGGCGAAACTCAGCAGGTCTGGCAGCATCTTGTCGGAACGAAGCAGAGTCCAGTGACTTGAAATGTCCTGAAGAAGAGTCACCGAACTCGAAACGCTAACTGTGCTTTCTTCTCACAGATGCTGCCAGACGTGATGAGCTTTGCCGCCAATTTCTGATTTTTTATAGTAAATATCTGCCTTGCTTCTCAACCAAATTTCTATGGAGAGTTTTATAGCACAGCTGTAGCATACAAGTTGCCAACAGCAATTATGTGATCTTACCCAGACTCATTGTACAGTTACAAACTGATGGCATGAATCTGATAGGGGAATATCTGTACCATGCTGTTTCTCTCCATGCTACGGCCACACATAATTCAAAGCATGTGACAGATTTCATTTGTCATCAAGCTAGCCCAATTCATGTCTTGTCTAATTCTTGTTGCTTATAAGAAAAAAACTATTGAAGTTGTAAAGATAATACAAGAAGCAGTTAAAGCACCTGCCATGCTCACTGTATTACCTACTAGTAATCAGTAATTTACCCACCTCCGTGACACACATTCCCCAGCTGGCACTATTATCTTTCAAGATTCAATGTGTGAGAAGGTGAGTCACTGACATAATTTGGAGAGAGGAGGCTAAAATGTAGCAGAATATGATTGAGTTTATGAAAGAACCAAAGTCAAAGGATTGATGCAAAAATGTGTTTCTAGACGGAGCAGTCTAACTCATCTGTGTTCATATCTCTGACCGAGACCTTCATGAATAAGTACAGCTGTTTGTCACAATTAATGAAGTGAACTCTTTTAGATTCAAGTGCCAATATATCTTAACTGGTCTGTTTTTAAAATAAATGCAAATGCACTCCCTTGATGGATGAGTCAGTAAACATCAAACCATGGAGAATTGGAATATTGAAGGGTGAATTGGTGACCTTTGCCGAGCTGAGGCACCAGTCAAGGCACTATGGTTGGCCGCTGCTCTGGGTTAAAGATGGAGGAAAGAACCACAGTTATTGCTGGAAAGTACATGGTGTGTCGATATCAGGTGAGTCCAGGCTTAGCTGAAATTCAGTCTTGACTTATTTATGGTCATAGTTGAGGGTTTCATGCATGGAACCCCATTCCCAAAATAACCTGCATTTCGGGAGAAGGTGGTAGAACGTTGGAAGTCAAAAGTAGCAAATGCTTCACATCATTGTTATTGAGGGTACTTAATTCTGTTTGGCATTTGTTCTGTTTGGTCCAGCCTTCCCACTTGTACTCATGGAGACGCTGACTCAGGTTGAGGTGCCTTTTCACAGGTCATAGAGAGGTATCTCACCTAACTGATCTTTCTGAGAATATGAGCCTCGATTTTGATCGCCAGCAGCTATTTACCATGGAGAGCATCACAGGGGGCAGAAACCAAACATTCATCACAAGCAGATATTTGGCACAGGAATCACTGAAAAAATATTCACAACTGGGAACTATAGCTGATTCATTCACTTTCTTGAAGCACAGAATGACTTTAAGGCATTTTTAAAATAGTGAAAGAATGTCCTCAATCAAAGCAATGCAATAATTACATGAAATTGTGAAATCAGGCACAATAATAGAGGTGATATTGAATCTTGCATAACTGTTGCTGCATGGCAGGTTATTCTTAAGTACTCATCCATTTACAATTGCAATATTTAATGGAAATATTAATTCTTTGGTTATGTAAAAGAAAGTCTTCAACTTACTGGGTTAATAATACAATTACATTATTAATCAATTCATGGCCAATATCCTTCTCAAATGGCAATACTCTTTATAACTAACAACAAATCACTATAATATTGCATTAACCTGGGTGGATGGAATGTATCCAAAAATATCAGATGAAACGAGAGATGTAAGTGGAGACATCTACATCCACGTATTGAAGTTATCACTGTAAAAGGACTCATAGTCAACTACTGTAATTCATAAATTCAAGAAGAGGATTAGAACTAATCCAATGAAATGAACTTGTTGATGGGAATGAAGGGTGGTTTTTGGCCCTCAGGCATGGTTTTCATCCAAAGGTGGCAAGCATGATAAGGTGCCATGGACAGCAGCGGGATGAGAACAGCAAAAGACCCATATCATAGCATGATAGGAATGATCACTGGCAGCCAATTAAGTGGATCAGGGCATTCCTCATCAATATCAGTAAATGTATTTAGTCAGGGAGTCAATATAAGAAATTATTAAACCTTGACTGCTTTAATGCAATACTATTCCAGCTGTATCTCTCCAATACATTGTCCTTGAGACTGCTTGCTCTTTGTCTCTAGGAAACCTTTTCAATACTCTGTGTACTGTAACACTTATTTATATCCGTACATAGTAGATTATCAAATACATCTCTAGTGTAGTGTCTAAAACCTCTCTGCTCACATGCATATTCTAGAGTTGTGTTTTTTGCTTACGGATGTCAGTGTCATGTAATCAATTGCATCATCATGATTTACATACATCTCATTACATCACATCTTCCCCCAAGTTTCTCTACACTTGGTCTATATTATTCTATTAGTTCACTTTCACTTACCTGCATAGTCTTTGTAATCATGAATGACATTATTAACGTTGTTATTACCATTATCACCATTTCACCGCCTCCCCCAACCTGTCAAAGTCTGAATCTCACCTCCTCTAGAAATGTTGTCTTCACCTTTTGATCTGTATTTTGAAGTTCATGAATGTTTTCCTTGTTTCAAGATCTCCATTTCTCAGAAAAATCTCCTTTTGCAGAGCCTTTTCTATTTTTTTTGAGGTGATGACGCTGCTATTGACTTACAACGATTTTTAAAGCATCTCAAATGGGCACACTTTTAGCACTCAGCTCCCCCTGTTGGGCATTTTTCCCACTTGTTATTCTGTTTAAAGCTACATACAGTGCATCTTAATATGGGTGAACACATTGAATTCCACTGTTATGGCATTTGATGGACTTCCAGAATGGTGATAATGACATTTTTGGATCTACCATCTGACCATATCAGAAGAATCTTCAGTGTTTTCTTGCAGTACTGACTATTTTCAGGACCTGATTTCTGCCCATTAGCAAATTGGATTGCCGAGTTCAACTTTAAATCTTCCTTAGACTGAAGATAGTCTGATAATGTCTTAGCCTCCACACCAGCTTCAACACGGTTTTTAATTAATTTATCTTTTAAAGCTCCATGCTTGCAACATCCTGCTAGATGATATAAATCTATTTTAAAAAAAGGCTTCTATTGATTCTCCCAAACTTAGAAATCACTATTAGAATCTTGCTGTCAAAGTGTTCTGCTTGTGTGCTTTTCCTTTTGAGAATATTGTCAGTTTCTGACTAGGATTCAAAGTCTTCTGAAGTTCTTTTCTCTACCCATCAGAGTCCTCCCACTCTAACCCAGTAATTGAAGTCAACTGACTTATTTTCCATGCCATTAGTGTCTTCTTCTGTACCAATATTTTTTCGTTTAAACCGACTGAGATTCTCTCCTGTCTTCTCTTTCCATTGGCGTCACTTATACTCTATTTTAAGTTCAGATCCTAATTCTGGGAGATTTTTCTTTATCTTGTCCTTTAAGCCAACATTACTACCTGCACATTGAGATCCCAGAGTGTCTCAGGCTGTGGATATCTGTACATACACTGTGCCTAATGATGCTTGAGACTTATCACTAAAGTAAGGCTCTTTAACTCCTTATATACTATCATGCTTCTTTACTTAGACCTGTTAATAGTAGGTTTTCAAATAAAGATCTCTAGTTCAGTGTCTAAGATCTATCTCTTTGCTTGCACTTTCTAGACTGGTTCAGTCTCTCTTACTGACTCTAGAGTCATGTGATTTGCCACATCATCATGCTTTCTGCAAATTTCAAAATACCAAACTGACTTTTACATCTCAATGGGGGTTTTGCCTGTCTGGTGAGATGGTGCCCGACTCTGCCCAAAAACACGCCTCGTGGGACATGGTCATATTGTGAATAAAATAAGTACCATCTGACAATATTTTAACTCCCTCCACATACCCTGTTATCATTGGATATGTCTGAACGTAAATTAAACTTGGTTTTAAAAGACAAGACAGTATTTTTCCAAGTGGTGAGAAGTGGTGTCCTTCAGCACTTACTTGATTTCAGTCCTTGAATCAATTTGTTCACTGTGTATAGGCCTAGAGGCAGTAATGTGTAAATTTTTAGCTTATACCACAAAATGAAATACAATTAATTGTTTGTGAGATGAAACTGCAAAAGAATACTGATAAGAAGAAATAAGCTTAAAAAGTATCAATTGAAATTCAATGTCAATAAATAAGATGTGATGCATTTTGATGAAGTGACAGCAGTAAACATACAGACACAGTAAAAATGCAGGCTTTGTGCTATTGAAGATCAGGGTAATTTGGTATTACAACTTCAGAGTATTCAAGGCAGCACCACAATTTAATAACACTTCAAACAATGCCAATAGTATTCTTGGTGTTCTCTTAAGGTGTTTAGAACATTAAAGTGAAGAGATAATGACGATCCTCTATAAAACCTAAATAAAACTTGCATTAGGTTGGAAAATTCTTTAACAGTAGTGTGTGCAGTGTTCCACAGGCTAGCAAGAATATTGAAGTTTCAAAGTTGATATGGTATAGCTTCACCACTGTTGTCCAGTAGGCAAGCAACTTGCTATAGCTACTGCTAACTTGGAATCAATATGTGGCTAATTACACTTCTGAGCTGTAAATAAACATGGGTAACAGGCACCATCATTAGGCATGTGATCTTAATATCCATATTCATCAGTCGTATGCCTGTATACTTTAACCTTTTTGAAATGATGGCAAAATAGAAGAATGTGCAAATGTTTCTCATTCATCTTGTTTTTTTAGCTCCTTAGTCACTGAATGGTGGTAGAGGATTGTTAAGAAAATGTACATGTAAAATTCTTTAATAACATAAAAATATAAGAAATAGCAGCTTCTTCCTAAAGTCTGCAACACCTTTGAATCCAATCACTAATCATGCAATCACATGCACTTCAACAATTTCAAGTTTCCTTGACACTTTGTCAGGTGTGACATTAAAGAATCTCTGTCTAGCTTATTCTCTTCTGACAGTCACTTAATTTATATCCACAATCATTTGTTTAGCTGCAGCAGTTCTTATTTTAAACAACCATTGGAATTAAAAGTTTAATGTGTCTGTTGAAAATTGGGCTTATGATCCATCGTCTTGACAACAGTAACATCATAATGACTTGATAATTCTTATTTTGTTGTTACATCAGGGACATTTCTAGTGTTCATCCTCAGTGTTGTTTCATGAGATCTTTATCATTCACGTTGGAAAGAAGACAAGGTCTCTGTTTAAAATGGTATCCAAAAGACAGCACTTCTGATGCTGTTGCATTCCTTCAGCATTGCATTGGAATGACAGTCTGGGTTTTTGTGCTCAAAATTTTTAGAGTGAGATTCAAATTCACAACTGTGGAACTCAGAGGCAAGAGTGCTACCACCTAAGGTATGGCTGATACACGGATTGCTGGGCAATAAAATGGATGTGTCTATTAACTGTATATCAGTTTGTATGCTGTCTATTGTATTTAGATAGTGATTATAAATTGGAGACTCACCTATGCTCATACATGTGTAGAAACAAACTGAAAAGTGTTTTGTTGTAAGTACATCATATGCAGTACCTCCGTAACCTTAAAGCCCAACAATGAATTAAATTCTACCCTTTAACTCCTGACCATTTGTTTTTTGACATTTATAGTTATAAGAGATAGAAATGAACAGATAGAAGAAGATATCTTTAAAAGCCACAAACAAATGTAGAAAATAATCAAGAAATCTAATAGAAGGCCGGCTGTTGTACCTAGAGGACTGTGTACAAGGATGCAGAAGTTATGTTTAGGAGAGATGTTAAGAAGCACTTCTAGGCATGAGGGATGGTAGGTATTTCGAACTCCCTTCCCCAAATGGCAATTGATTGTGAATCAGTGGTTAATTTTAAATCTGAAATTGATAAATTTTTGTTAAGCAAAGTTATTAAAGGATATGGGCCAAAAACAGGGATTTAGATCGAGGCCACAGTTTAGGCATAATCTCATTGAGTGACAGAACAAGCTTGATGGGATGAATAGCCTACTCATGTTCCTAGGACTGTTTTCATATATTGAGTGGTGAAGAATAAGTTATCTGAAAAAGGTAGCTGAATGATTATGCACAAGAGGTTTAGAACTGAAGGTGCAGGTGAAACCTTACGCAGTGCTATGAGACTGTGAGACTACAGAATTCAATTCCGCCATTAGTAGTTGAGACAGAAATTATGTCAGCATTAAGAATTGGTTTGGATAGAAGGATGACACAACAGGATTTAAAGCAATGTAAGAGTAGGTAAGTAAATATCATTAGAGTTAGTTGATTGAATGACGTGAATATCACATAGTCCAAGCCTCATCTGGCTCATATATCCCTGAAATGTCTGCTGATGTTCTGCAGCCTATTGTCAGAAATGATTTCTTCAGACACACTGAACAGGTTAGATATGGCACTCATGTATCTGTCATGGACACACTTGATGTGTTCTTTACCTTTATTTTGTAGTCAGAAAGAATATATACATACACTGTGCTTGTTTCACTTCAACAAAATAGGTAACAGCCAAACTCTAATATCTCAGGGCAATGCTTTAACCACTCAGTGTCAACCTACCTGGATTAAAATGTAAACAAAGCCTGGCAGTTAACCGCCAGTTATCATTAACATGTGCATTACCCATGGAAACACTTCTGCCAATCAGAGTCCACTTGCCTACAATCAACACACTGATATAGTACAAATGTTGTTTTCCTTTGCATTGGTATTTCTTGTTAGTTGTCTTGATAATGGAAGACAAAAACTACAATAAAATGTCTTTTTTTCCAGCAATACTCAAGACTTCACTCTTTTTGAGGATCTTTACTGTTAAGTACAGTAGCTGTCAAAAGAATCTGTGGCAAATGGTGCCAGGACATGGATGAGATAAAACTGGCTAGTCAACCTTAAAAACAATAAAACTAGGCAGCACAGAAGAGGTACTGTCGTCTTACCAGTGACACTGCTCTGAGACCACTATTGCCCAGCCTTGTTATTGGCATTTGAGCATGAAGGGAACTCTTCTGAATTCTAATATGACTCTACTTTGCCACTGCTGTCAGTAGCTCAGCTAGTGAATCCATTAAGTTGTTAATCTACAGGCTAGCAGAGTTCCAAGTAGGTTTTAGTTATGCTGGCTGTTTTTAACTCAGATGCTTTAGATGTAGGAATTTACCTCATTGCCCTTGGTCCCCTGAAGTTGCCATAATACAGTGTGGAGCTGGAGGAACACAACTCATCTGAGGTTGCCATTCCTTGTTGCTATCTACTGAAACCTGCTAGCAGCACATGTGTGAATACAGAACTTGGTTGTGATAATTTATTTTGATTGAAAAACTTCCTAAAATTGATGCAAGAATAATACGATTGTTGCAAGATACTGAAGATTTCCCAATAATCCTGGAGCTGCACTCTAATAAAAAAGAACCATATTCCTTTTAAGAATGAGAAAAGGTGAGTGTAGAAAACTGGAAATAAGAAAAATTGCTGAGTCATCAGGTTAAAAATTGCTGGAGGCCACTTGCAGTAATTACAGCTGCTATTCTCATATGATCGGAACATGTCAGCTTTAGTGGGTTAAATGAGTTAAACAAGATGAAGTGTGATGAATGAAGAACTTGTGGAC